TCTTGACTTCAAACTTTATTATAGATTGGTCTTCACCAAGGAATCTCTCACTCCCTTGACCCTCAGTATCATATTTTCAGTATTTGTAAGTCTTTCTTGGGCTGAGCTACAGGGCCCAGAAAAGTCTTTGTCTTTCAGAGGATGATTGATAGTTTAGATGTTGAACAAGTCTTGCATAGGTAGAGTAAATCTCACTTGGCCATTGGTAAATATTGCCTTTTTACATATTGCTGAATTCAGTTTGCTGATATTTTCTTAAATATTGTTGTGTTTATGCTGGTTTATAGTTTTCTTGTAATATTGTCTAGCTCAGATATAAGGTGATGTTGGCCTTATATACTGAATGAGGAAGGATTCCCTCTGCTTTTATTTTCTGCAGAAGATTGTAGAAAATTGTTATATTTTTTTCCTTATATGTTTGGTAGAATTCACTGGGCCTGATGTTTTCTGTTTTGGAAGATTATTAATTTTCCTGGCCCAATTTTATTACTAGATTTATTTCTTCTTGTATGAATTTAGGCATATTATATTTTGAAAAGGAATTGGTCCATTTCCCAAATTTATCAAATATGTGGGCATAGAGTTCATAATATTTCTTTATCTTTTAACATCCATGGGAGCTGTAGTGATGACCATTCTTTTGTTTCTGATACTTACAATTTGTGTCCTCTTTTTTGTAACTTGGCTAGAGGCATGTTGGTTTTATTGATCTTTTTGAATAACCAGTTTTTGGTTGTGTTGATTTTTCTGTATTGCTTTTTCCTATTTGCAATTTGATTGGCTTCTGTTCTAATTTCTATTATGTCTTCTGTTTGTATTTAATTTGCTTTTCTAGTTTTGTAAGATTGACATGTATGGATTTTGTTTCTTCTAAGCACTGCTTTCATTGCATCTTACAAATTTTGATGTTACCATTTCTATTTAGTTCAAAATATTTTAAAATTCCTTGAGATTTTTTGATTCATGTTATTTAGAAATGTGTTACTGGATTTTGCAGCTATTTTTTGTTATGGATTTTCTAGTTTAATTCCTTTGTAGTTGGAGACCAAAGATTGTATGATGTTCTGTTTTGAATTTCTTTTCATGTGTTTTAGGGCTCAGGTCATGGTCTGTCTTGATGGATGTTGCATATTGTTATGGCTTATATCTGGGTGTTTCCCCAAAACCTCATGCACTGATAGGTGGGACTCTTCGGAGCTGGCTGGACAGGGTGTATGATGCTGGGATTAAGGGTGTGTGGTTCTAAATTAGTCCACTTATTGGAGTAATTCTGGTGTGGCTGAATAAATTTATTGAAGACAGAAGCCTCACCATATATGTGGCTGATACCACCCAAAAGGGTTGTATCCTGGATGGGATAAAAGCGAAAGGTAGGTTCGCATGCTGATGCTCTGCTGCTTGCTGCTTCATTGTCTCTTGCTTGCTTACCATGGACTGTTTCTCCTCTATGATGCCCTTTTGCCTTGCCACCCTGCCCTGGAGCCAGCTGACTGGATTGAAACCTCTACAAACTCTGAGCTGAAATAAACCTTTCTTCCTTTAATGTTCAGTATCATATATTTCATCTCAGCAACAAGAAAAGTAACTAAGACCCATGTGAACTTGAGAATTGTATTGTTCTGTTGTTGGATAAAATACTCTATAGATACAAATTACCTATAGTCTATGTTTTGCGTTGTTGAGTTCAACTATTTCCTTACTGATTTTCTGCCTGCCTAGTGTGTTCCATTCTTGTGGAGGGATGTTGAAGCTTTTAATTTTAATAGTGGCTTTCTTCTTACCACTCTTAATAGTTGATGTTTTATTTGTTTTTGTTTCATATATTTCAAAGGTACATAAACTAGAATTGCGGTGTTTTTCTGGGGAGTTGACATCTATTATGTTAGCGATGCTTTTTATCCTTGATAACTTTTCTTGCACTATAAGTCACCTTTGTCTGAAAACAATATACATAGTTGCTTCTGGGATTTTTTGTTTGTTTTTGGGTTGTTTTGCTTTTTGGGTAATGGGGATTGAATCCGGAGCCCTTCACACTAACTTACATCTCCATCCACTTTTCTAATTTTTTAATTCTGAGACATGATCTCTCTAAAGTTGCCTAGGCTTGGTTTGAATTTATGATACTCTTGGTTTGACCTCCCAGAGTGCTGAGATTATAGGTGTGCACCAGCAGGCCTGACTATTACTCCCACTTTTTTGTTTCTGTTTTTTCACTAGTGTTAACATGGTACAGGTACTTGGCTCACATGAAGTTACATTTAGTCTTTTAATGAATGAGCTGCGTCTCTGGACTGTGGACTTCATACCTCCTTTTCAGTCTTTCTCTCATTTAGGTGAGACAGTAGAGTGGGCTGTAGCTGAGTATTTCTGTTTGCTCAGGTAGCAGATGAGAGCAGATAGAAGCTGGGATGGCCCCTTACCTCAGGTGAATTAATATATCTAATCTGTGATTAGACTTAGTGACATCGTTTCTCTTACGGGTAGGCCTTGTTAAGAAAAAAAAAAAAAATGTATTTATTTTGACTCCTCACTGGCTGAATTGCAAGCATTCATAGGGCTCCTGTGCTTATCAGGGATTTCTCATGGTAATTGCAGGAATGTAAAAGACTTATGAGAGAGCTCTGGGTCAAAATATGACATAAAAATTTATGCCTTTATAGATGTGAAGAGTAATTATGCTTTCAGTTTAGAAATTTATCCTGGAACTCAGCCGTTAGGTCCTTATTTAGATAGTAATAAACTGAATGATGTTGTGAACAGTCTTGTTGCTTTGATCTCCCAAACTAATCAGAATGTGACATTAGACAGTTGGTTTCCAGTTTCCAATTTGATGTCGTATTTGCAGACCGAGCAGAAGTTGACCAGTGCAGGAACTATACACAGGAACAAAGCAGAAACTCCAAATGGAATGTTGCAGTTTCAAAGCAGAGAATTGTATAGTATAATCTGTGGATTTCAGAAAGATTTAATTGGTCTTGTATATGGCAAAGAAAAACAAACTGGTACTGCTGATGTCAGCATTGTACCGTGATGGAAAAATAGGGAAACCTCGACAAAATGGAAGCCAGAGATAGAAACTTTCTACAACAAAACTAAAAGTGGAGTCGATGTTGTTGATGTTATGCAGCAACTATGATGTCACTGGAAACACAGAGCACTGGCCAATGGTTGTGTTTTACTTGATCCTAGGCATGTATGGCATAAATAGTTTGATAGTTTTCAAAGACAGTAACAAATTAAAAATACCACAGAGAAATTTTCTGAGATAACTGTGGCTGGAACTCATAAGAGATCATTTACAGCAGAGGAAAGACAAAGTGTTTCTGACCAGGGAACTATGCAAAAATATTGTGGAGTATACTAGTGAGCTGACGGGTGAATAGGCAGGCACAGCATCCAAAGTTGTACTATGACAATAGAAAAACCAAAAAGATGTCAACTGTGCCCTACAAGAAAGGGACGGGAAAACAAAACATACATGCCATCAATGTAAATGATACTTGTTTATGATACATGTAATTTTCATGTGTGAAGAGTGCCCTTGGTGTGACGGTTGAAAACATTTTTTGTTGTAGAGTTCTATGGGCATTTCCATTATAGTTCGCATAGATTTTTATTTCTGAAGTTATCTGTTGGGTTTTATAAGCAAGTAAACAGCTGATGTGAAAATGTTGATGTTTATTCTAAACACTCATTACACATTTGATACTTTATTTTATTAGTTCTTATTTCTCAGCTAAGTGCATATTGTACAACATAGTAGGGAGCTCCTGACAGAACAAAAAGAGAAGAGAGGTGACAAGAATGGCCTGCCACATAGCACATGTGCTATCAGTGAAAGAAAGATGTGTGCCTGGAACGCACACTTGTCACGTGTGAAGACTGCCTTGGGTGTGGCAGTTAAAGTGAAGATTATTTCTGTGGTAGACTTTATGTTTACATGGTAGCTCACATAGGTTTTTATTTCTGATGTTGTGTCTTAGGTTTTATAAGCAAGTACCTAACTGATGTGAAAATGCTGATGTCTATTCTAAGCAATTATTATACATTTAATATTTTATTTTATTGACATTTTATTATTTAGGTGTGATAATTGAACTAAAAATTATTGGTTTTTTATTTTATTTTTTTTTTTTTGGTACTTTTTTTTATTTTATTTTATTTTTTTTGGTACCAGAAGTAGAACTCAGAACCTTGAGCTTGCCAGGCAGGCACTGTGCCACTGAGCTGTATCCCCAGCCTGGTATTGGTATTTTCATTGTAGTTCATATAGAAATTTATTTCTGAGGGCTGGGGATTTAGCTCAGTGGCACAGCGCCTACCTGGCAAGTGCAAGGTTGTGAGTTCGATTCCTGGTACTGGAAAAAAAAACAAAAAAAAAGAAATTTATTTCTGATGTTTTAGGTTTTAGAAGCAAGCACACAGCTGTGAAAATATTGATGTCTATTCTAAGCACTCATTACATATTTGATATTTTATTTTGACATCTTATTTTCTTATTTAGGTGTGATAATTGAAGTAAAGATTTTTTTTGTAGAGTGCTATTGGTATTTTCATTGTAGTTCATATAGAAATTTATTTTTGTTGTCTTTTAGACTGTGTACACCAAAAGCCAGTTGATGTTGAAATTTTTGATGCTTTTTATAAACAATAAATATTAAAAATGTAATACTTTACTTTTGTGATTTTTTTTCCTGTTTAACTCTCATTGTTTAATATAGTAAAACTCTTAAAATTAATAGTTCATCAATAAAAATATTCTAAAGAATAAAAATGGGTTTGAGACACCCATGACTATGCCCCTTTATGACAAAAGAATGTGTTATGCTCCCAGGGCTAAAGATGGATATGAAGGTCTTATTACCTGGTGTGCTGGCAGCTGTGTAGGTTTTTGTTAAAGCTTGATTAAACTAAACCTTGGTGATTTGAATGTGGTTACGTGTACAGAACTTTGAAGATCTTAAAAATAACATTTCTGCAATTCCTCTTGCAATCTGCAGAGAAAGCTACCAGTGAGATGAACACTGCTGAGGACTGGGGCCTCATCCTGGATATTTGTGATAAGGTTGGCCAATCCCGCACTGGGTAAGTGTTCTAAGTTTCAAAGGATGAAGAAAAAAGTAGGAGGTAAAGTGTGTTACATTTACAATTTAGTTTAAAAGGGGAATGTTTTTACAAGAACACTTTGAAGAATCATTCCATTTAGATTACTCCTTGTAATCTGCATGACCTGGTTGGTAAATGGTTAGTACTTTATTAATCACTTTTATTATTTTTCTTTTGTGAAATCTACATTTTTTCATTAGATTTTAGTCATTATTGTTTCCTCACTTAGCAAATTTTGTGGTTATGTCTGAGTTTTTTCTTTGTCACTTCTGTAGTATTCCACCCAACTTGATTATTGACTATTGAAAGACACAAATTAGGGAAATATGATGTTAAACTTTTGGCATGTATTACAGAGTTTTCCAGGTAGCACAGAAATGAATTAGCAGGTACGCATGTGATTTCCTGCACTCCTGGGGTAATAGCATTCAGCCATCAGTGGTCTTATTTACCATATATTGCCACAAATAGTATTGTCTCATTTGTGTACTTTCATATGAAAAAGACTAGGAAGCACTGTTCCATTGCACTTGGTTCTTCTGAGAGATAATCCTCACCACTACGCGGTACCTTCTTTGGCTATTCTTTTCTTATAGATATCGATGTTCCTTAAACTTTCCTTAGTTCTTTTTTCCTAATACTTTTTCCTTTAGTATCTTACAACTTTCAAGTATCTTTGTACGGGAGAAATCTGATTTTCACTTCTATTCTTCTTATCCAAGGACTGGTCCTGTGGACATAATACCATTTTTACATTTCATAATATGTAGTTCTTAATCTCACCATATAGAAAACTGAAATCTTGCCTCTTTTTGCTTTAAACCTGCTTTCACTTCTTTGTTCCCTGTTGGTGTTAATGACAAGATAATTTTTTCATTGTAGTTAAAACCTCAGAGTCTCCTCTATATTTATTTTGTTACTAAATTCTTTCACTCTTCACAGTCCTTCTCAAAATGTTGACTACAGAGTCGCCTTAATTCTTCAGCCTGTGCCATCAGGCAGGGGCAGCATGTCTTCTGTTGGGGGCCTGCATACCCCTTCACTCTAGCTTTTAGGATCCCTAGTGCACTTCCCTACATAGTTCCCAAAGACTGTCTTAGATGTGGCCCCACCAGGCCCTTTGTTATCTTTGCATTTCAATGTATTAAGTCTTGTTCTTTCTGTCTCTGCTCATTAATTTAATTAGAATTTGAATAACTGTTATGTGCTACATATGTATTCCTTTCTCCATTTTCATGTGGCCTGCTTTACTTGAGACATTCCTTACCTTGCCTGGAGTTGTAGATTGACATTTTGATATTTTTTTACAATTTCATCTCTTTTATATCTAATTCTTGCATTCACCTGCCGTATAACAGCCATGCTCATGAGTTGCCAGTGCTTAATTAATCCCACCTCCCTCCCCCGCAGTGCTGGGAATTGAACCTGGGGCCTTTACCCAGTCTTTTAATTTTGAGACAGGATCTCACTAAGTCTCCAAGTTGCCTAGGCTGGGCTTGAGTTTGCAGCTCTGCCTCAGACTCCCAGTGTGCTGGGATTATAGGTATGGGCCACTATGCATGGCACTTTGGTTCTTTTATTCCTTCTGTGTGGATATTTTCCTCTCTCATTTCTTATCTCTGTGACTTATATTTTTTCAGAAGCAATTTAGGTATCATTTCTCTCAGGGAGCCTCTGCTTAGCCCCTTTAATATCAAGTTTCTTAAAACACTATCCAAAGACATTCTTAGGGCTGTGGCTGTAGCCTAGGGGTAGAGTGCATGCTTAACATGTATGAGACGTTGGTTCAATCCCCAGCACACGCGCACATTTTCTAATTGTGTGTTGTCCTATGTTTTAGTAACTTGTAGGTAGTAAACTTAGATTTGTATTGTTTTTTTTTTTTTGTTTTTTGTTTTTTTTTTGGTTTTTCTCCGGTACCGGGAACCGAACTCACGACCTTGCGCTTGCCAGGCAGGCGCTTTGCCGCTGAGCTAAATCCCCAGCCCCCCAAACTTAGATTTGTAGAGTGAACAATTCTCCAGATTTTATGGTATAGAGGAAAGAAGTAAATAGCTTAGTAATTGAGACTGTGGACTGTGAAGTGAGACCGGGTTCAAATTCTGACTCTAAGCACTGAGCCATGTCGCAGTGGTAAGTAACTTGCCTTTCTGGGGCTTACTCTTCTAGTTTACCACATAAAATAGAATCTTTTTCATAGGGGGATGGCTGTGACTGTGAGATAGTTAACCGGTAAGGCGTTTGTAGCAGTACTTGGCATATATTTAAATGGGTGCAACTCTGGACACTTTTGATGAAAGTCGTATTTTGTGACGGTTTTTCTGTCGAGGGCTGGATGTCAGCCAAGATCTGTCTTCTGTATAGTTTTGAGATAAAACTTTTATCTAGCATTCTAATTGCAGAGTCCTCCTCTCACTCTGTTCTCGTTTTATCTTTACTTTGGAGTTATTTTATAGACACTTTTATACTTGATGAGTTGCTTGAAATCAAAAGACAAACTCCCTTTTATTACTAGAAATATTCCGTAGTTTTCTAGTTTAAAAAATAAGTTTGTAACCCATCTGAAATTCTATGTAGTATGTAATGAAGGTGTAGAGGTAAGTTCATTTTTTTTTGCATGTTAATCTTATTATACCAGAAATTCATTAGACATTCATTTTCTTATTTTGTTTCCTCACATTTGAAATGAACTGATTTACAGTTTTGAAAATATTTTTTGTTTGTATTTTGTTTTTATCCTGTGTCAATAGAGAGACATGTTTATTTTTTTAGTTTTTCAAGTTTATTTTTAGTCCATATGCTTTTTCTCAGGGTACTTTCTAACATTTGAGTTTTCACTTGCGGATTTTAATTAAGATTATATCACATCTTTGAATTGCTTAGCAAATATTTTCAAATTTAGTAATCTAAACAGTAATAATGTGTGGTTCTCTGTGTACCTTTGATGATATTTTTTCTCTTCTCCTTTTTACTGTCCTTCTTCTTTTCTCCTCGCATTCATGCTTTCCTCCTTTGTTAGTGGTTTCTAGTTTTTTTTTTTTAATTCCCCACTAATTTCCAAGTATTTATTTGTTTATGTAAATGGGTATCACTTTGTAGCTCTTGTTAGTAAGGAGTTGTTTGAAAAGTATTAAATAATAGATACCATTTTGATATTATTAAGGTTTTAAAAAGCATATTCCAAATAGTTGCTCATGTATGTATTTTTCTTGAGTACTGTTTTACTTACCTATGCATTTTTTTTGTTTCTGGTGTTCTTGTTGTCCCTTGATATTCTTACATTAGGAAATGGCATACACAAGCACTGCCTGCATGATTTTCATGCACTCTACCCACTTTTGCTTTCCTGGGCGCCTTTCTTCATTAAAAAAAAGATATGATTGCATTGTTAGAGAGCAAAATATATTTATATTAAATCTTGAAACATTTTCTTTGACATAAAAGTACATTTTCTCTTATTTAATTTAAAATATCTTTATGTGTCCCTAAAATTACTGCTCCTAAATGGCTAGTGGATAAATATTATATATTCCCAGATCAGCTAAATAGTACAGAATTATTAAGGTTCTTTTCAGATGAGCAGTGAAGTGCTTATGGTGGCATTCTTAATATTTGTTTTAAATTTATTTTTATTGTGGTATTGTATATATATGAAACTTACCTGTTTAACCATTCTGAAATGATTCAGTAGCATTGAGTATATTCACACTGCTGTACAGGTATCACCACTATCCACCTCCCTAATTTTTTTATGATCTCAAATTGAAATGCTGTACCCACTAAAAAATTAACTCATTTCTTCCCTCCAGCCAGCCTCTGTCACCATGTGTAGTTTGTTTTTGATCTTCAGATCATCTTTTAAGTAGTATTCATGAACAGCTTGTGGAGAGCTGGTTTGCTATTTAAGAACCTAGATAGATCTGTTTAGATACGGGTTGCTGATGGTAGCATAAGAACATTGAACAATATTTTCAGTTGCGAGTGAGATCTTCTAGATGCTTCCTGTGATTTAGAGAAGATTGACACGCGGGATTGGGGTGAGAGGGGGCATCAGTCCTCCTGACAAATTCAGATGGGGCAGATTGAAAATGGGAGAATTTGTGGATTGGAATGTATCTTAAAGGTAACCATGTATTAGGCAACAATCTAGATTTACTGTTCCCATTTGCTGTTAGCCTGAAACTTTATGAAAAAATAGGTGTATTTAAGAAGACAGATTCAGGGCAGGTAGAAGGATGTTAGGAAATGCATTTTCTTTCAGTAATATTGTATATCTTAATCAAAGTGATTTGTAATATGTAGAATTATTTACGTAATAATTTATTATCTCTTTTCTCATTTCAAGCCATCTGTCTTAGATTTGTGACAGTTTGGAAAATATCTTAAGGTTTTAAGAGGAGAATAAAGAACCATGATTGTGAAATTTCATTTAGTCATTTCTGTAACCTAGAGGCATGGCTCCCAGTGATGTTTTGAAAAATTGTCATTGAATCCTTTTTAAGCGAACTTTTGTATTCTCTAAAGCCTGCACATACACATATGCATGTGTATATTTGATTTATAAAATACAGGTGCGAACAGAAAGCATATACTTTCAAAAAAAATAGGTAAATACTCACATGGCTCAAAAATTAAAACAGTTTAAAAAGATGAAAGTTGACAAGTCCTAACTTAGGTCTCCATGTCTCACCCTTACTTCCTATATGGAGGCAGTTTTGTTTCTTTTGTATCTTTCCATTGTTTCTTTACACAAATGTAAAAATATTACTCCCATCCGTATATAATAAGTATATTATGTATACTATTCTGCACTTACTATTTCCTTAATGTATCCTGTTAATTTTAGAAATAAATTTCTGTTAAAGTCTGTTAGTGGAGAAATTTAGAAACCATTGTCTAATTTGACATCAGTTTTAGTGACAGATGGGATTTTTGACTCAATAATTATTGAAGAAATTGTGTAATAATTTTTAGTAATG